TGGTGATGGACGGTGACGGTGATGGTGGACGGTGGCGGTGGTGGTGGACGACGGTGGCGGTGATGGTGGACGGTGGTGATGGTGGTGGACGGTGGTGGTGGTGAAGAGAAGTAGAAGAAAAAAAATGGAGAAGATGTTAGAAGACATAGGTTAATGTCTTCTCCAAGAAGATGCCAGGAAGACCTTTTTGAGTAAAAATGTCTTCCAAAAAACAAACAATCTGCAGAGCTCAGCATCTGCGCGCGTCTGCGCGGCGCAGACAAAAGAGGCCAGCTGGCCAAAAAACAAACACTCCCTTGGTGTTTTCCCAAACCAGAAACCAAGCCATCAGGCGTTCGGCTTTCAGAAACCGGCATTCGGTTTTCAGAAACCGGCGTTCTACATTCGGTTATCGACGTTGGTTTTTGACGTCCAAACCAATTGAGTGGTTTTCAACATTTTATGATTGGTTTTTACTTCTGGGCATGTTTAAACAGTTTTCCAACAAAAACACTTTAAAAACCCCCTTTCGTTTTTGTCGTTTGGCAAAAACCACGCAAAATGGCATAAACTTGGCTAGCCGTGGTCTTTACTCAAATGACGTGGTTTTTAAAGTGTATCACTTGATTTCTTATCCAAATACATCAAATAAGTGTTTAAAACACTTGGTTTTTACAAACAAGAACTTTTGATTTTTCGGTCGGTTTTTGCATCGGTTGGCTAGGCCATGATTCACGCAAAAACCATGGGTTTTTGACTAACCATCGACCCAGTGATGGGAAGACTTACCCATCGATGGGTAAGCGGACCTTCAGCCCAACTGAATTCCAGAACCATGCCAAACAGCGATAGGAAGTTCTACCCATCGTTTTTCAAACCTTGGTCCAACATTAACACAAGGTAGAATGACCTTACCCAGCGATAGGTACTTTAACCCATCGATGGGAACCCAGCAATGGGAGGGCATACCCATCGCTGGTTAGGCATGACCGTTGTAAGTCATTTAAGGTTGATTCCTTCCTTATTTGAAAGTCAACCTCCCACCCAGCGATGGGAAGCATGTACCCATCGATGGGTAGGTGACCGTTGGCTTCAAAACTGAAGGAAAATTGGCTTACCAGCGATGGGTAAGTCCATACATCACTGGGAAAGACAATTATCTGCAGAACCACATTTTAATCAATCCCATAAATCATGCCAATCACCCCTTTAATGCCATGATCCATTGGAGCCTATTTTGGCACTATAAAAAGGGTTGTTTGGGTATGCTTTAATCATCAATTCACTTCACAATATTCATATTGTCATTGCATTCAAACAACATCATTTTTCATAGCTTTCTAGAGCCAGTTTGTGTGAAGTTTGAGTTGTTCTTGATCGTATATATTTTACTCATTATCCACTCTTAAGGAGAGTCTTGTTCTTGAGTGTCTTAGTGTTGTATACACGTTAATGGAAGCTTGTTTCCCTTGGTTGTACGAAGGAAAGGCATTTTCCTTCGGGTTGAAGTCTTGGAGTGCGGTATCTCCGAGCAAGTGTTGTTGAGGCTCGTGGGACTCGAGTTCTCAGGTTGTAACGGTTTTTTAAGCATCCGTAAGCTTAACAGAAGTAGTGTAGCTCGAGAGAGTCTCTCAGGAGACTGGATTAGCCACACATTGTGGTGAACCAGTATAAATCTTAGTGTGCTCCCTTTACGCATTTTTTATTCCGCTCTTTACTTTATCCCTGCGATTTTTATTTCGCGAAAATTTACCCTCTTAATACCAATCACCACCTTATCACCCACATCGAGACCCATATGATTATGAATACAAAGTCATCAATGAGTCTGACTATTATCCATACCATGAGGAACCATCATATGACACATTGTCTCGGAAATTTGAAAATTTTCCATACTAAGACACTAATAAAAGGTCATTATTATGAAGCTCATGGAGAACTAGATGATTACGACCACACAGGGCCGATGTATAACAATGAACCTAATCCACTTGTCGAAGATATCATTAGATTAGAGTAGATAATTTTCCATCTCGACGATATATTATTCGCTGAAGGCTCCTGGTATGAACCATACTACCGCCGTGACTACACTCTGTCTACTCAAGAACAAATCGAAACAAACAGAGTGGAGATTTAAGAAAGGAGAAATCTTCTTGAAATAGTCAGGAAGGAAAAGGAGTTTGAAACGAAATTTTGAGAAATATTAGAGATGATGTAGAGGGTGCTAGAAGACTTCCAATGGGAGAGACTAGAAGTAGAGGATCGAACTGATAAGATACTCGATGATCTTAAGATGGCTATAGAGCATAAACATTATCTTCAACCTCTAGATCCACAATAGAGGGAGTTATTTCTCAAGAGGAAGATCTACAACTTGAACCAATCAATCATCAGGTTCCGGTTCTAGAAGATTCACCCAGTACAACTCCACCACAGAAACCCAAGTGCGTCATGACTCTTCAAATGCTCGCTCGGGCTACTTTGGTGATGTTACCTGAATATCATCCAAGCAGAGCCCTACCACAAAGTCGTACATGAGGTAGAACAAACTGAGAGACCCGACTCAGAGCCACCTACACCGTCTGAAGAAGAAAAGGATGAAGGAGTTGTGCCCATTTAAATAAACTTCCCTCTTCTTAATTGTGTTGAAGACACACCTCCAAAGGAACCTATTCAGGAGGAAGTAGAGCCCACAATCTACCCCCATGACTCTAACATAGAAGAGTCTGAAAAAGAATCTATAGACGAGAAATTACTATGCACCGAACACCTAACTCCTTCTAAAGAAACTTCTACAAATAATGTAACACCCCGGCCCCCACCCTATCC